ATTATAAGCAAAGGCAATGAGTGATACGATAGAAAAATACTTGGAATGATAACACTATTTACTGTATGGAGCCATTCAGTTTCAAAACGTACCAAAAAAAAAATAATACTATCCCTTGGCAAAAACAAAAGAGGGGTAACAAACAGCATAAGTAAATCTGGAAGATTGTTTCACATCTCTAATCTCTTTTGCAAGGGTCACGTCCCTCGTGTACAATGAAGGGACTATGGCGAGACTACCTCACTGGGATGACTACGTATCATAAGGACACCCAGTGTATCAGGATCTTTGGCCTGGCTTCATCCTCCTTTCCGGTCTATTGTTAGGAAAATACTAGGGCAAGAAGAGCGGCAATACCCAAATGCCAAGATACATGTTTCTCTGTGAATTATAATCCACGAATCCTCTTCCGCAGATAACGATGTCTCCGTAGGTGTGCTTTCAAGAGAACGAGAGAGAGAGAGAGAGAGAGAGAGAGAGAGAGAGAGAGAGAGAGAGAGAGAGAGAGAGGGGCGGTGGGTGAAAGACAGGAAATAACACAAGAATCGAAAGCGTAAGAAGAGGAAGAGGAAATAACACAAGAATCGAAAGCGCCTTAGGTACGCAGTATACATAAAGGCAAGTAGACATATTGCGATGTATATAGCTATACATACACCTATATACATCTGCCAACAACGTAGCTGTAGCTTTTCTGCCGATTAACCGATCGTGGTACAGATCGGATCTACAGGATTAATTTTAACCCCTTTCCAGAAACCCAGACATATTTTTTCAACCCCCCACCCCCACCTCTTTTCCCAAATTCGTATGTTTTTCTCGTCGAGTTTTCGTCTACGGACAGTCGTTATCACGACGACACGTTTCTATCGTCATTGGAAGCACACGTGAATAGGGAACACGTGATAGGGACCAGAAAGTAACCGCGTACCTGGAGAGATAGACTGCGATAAGCTTCGGTCGATAACTAAGGGGCTTGGCTTAAACAGCTTTTGCGTGCTTGCGCTATGACGAACACCTCTCCAACGAAACGATACGTGAGAATTAGCTCGACGTGTCTTTTTTTCAAGACAAAGACAGATATATTTGAACCAAAAAATGTGTACTAATCGAAAGGATTTTGATAATTTTTGTTTTTATGGCAAACCAGTGGAAATGGAAAGTTGAAAAATTGAAATGAAAATAAAGACAGGGTGATAACTGTGCAAAGGGCGTAAAAATGAGAAAAAGTGACGTAAGTGGATGGGAAGATTATACTTTCATGTTTGTGCCTGCAGCAATGGCCGGGGTCTGTCGGATTACGTCAGATCAACGTCAAGTCGCCCCAAGGAACGTTCAACTTTCCATGAAAGTTTTCTTACCGACTTCCTGTCGTCTGCCCCAAACTTCATCGCCATTTGCACGTCGAGTACTGCGAGGTAACGGCCAGAGGATTCGAACGTCGAAGATATTTTAATTTTAAAACTCAACGAGACGTCCCGAACCGGATGAAAGTCTTTCACCATCACAAGGGACAGGTGGTGGCTAGATCCTCCTGCCTATACCAACCTAACGTAGTAACAGGCTAGCTGGAGTTAGTTAAGGGAACCCTGCTTCGTCGACGTCAATCCGATCAAAAAGCTATCAGAGCTTTCTTGATGAATAGAAGGACGAACCAAGAGACAAGCCAGAGTGGTAGGTTGATCCTGGGAGTCTGGAGTCACATGCTATAGCCAACCCCCACGTTCATCCCCGCAGTCAATCAGGGCGAAATAGTGACTAGAGAAGAGATCTAGATAGAAAAATTGGTAGAAGGGTGGAGAACCGAAATAGAACGATCTCGAGCATACTTGCAGGACATGGACCAATGGGAAAGCGGAAGTTCAGGAAGAAGGAAAAAAGTCCTGGGAAAAAAGCCAACTGCAGATCTTGAAATTGTACGTCGCCGGAAGTCAAGTCTCGAGATCGATAACGAATAGACGAGTTACAAGCTCACCAATATTATGTATCCTGAACAATTTTACCTTCGAGTAAGGTGCCCTTAAGCCTTCTTTTTCCTTCGTCCGAGGCACGACGTCCATGGCATCCGAGAACCTTGGACGTCGCGACGCTTACTTGAGAAAAAAATTCCGTGGCTAGCCTGACGCTTCGAATTAGTTATGTAACAAAAGCATTATTTATGGTATCAGTTTGAAACTGCAATCGTGAATCAATTGTTCCAGTCTGTGCATCATCTACGTAAACCCTAAAATTAACTTTTTTTTTTTAATTACTGATCACTAAAAGAAACGTCAAAATCCAACGATTTCTCTTCTGTGAAATTAAACTGATCAAAAGTGACGTCGTAATAGTATACCAGGATCTGACTATCCAGGAAGTAACAACCCTTAATCGAAACGAACTCCTCGAGGTTTGTGTGTACAGTGAAGTAGGTACCTATGTTCCATTTCTGATGGCAGGTAGCAGTTAAAAGGCTGCCACGTAGGTACCCACAACCCTTAGATAAACTTACTCAACGATTTGTGAGGTATATTTCCAAAGGGTATAAAATGGAAAATATAAGAACGTAACAGTAAGGTCTAATATAACCTTATTATATATGTACATTTAACATTAGACGATTCTATTTCTATTCATGGAATATAATGATACGAATCCCATTTTATAAACGGTTCAAACTGTATATATATAAAATATTCAAGATATTGGATTGATCCATAAAGTAGTTGCGTTTTTCTTTTTCTTAAGATGTGTATATCCATCTATTAGAAAAAAGCGCAATGACTTCCTATCCAACCCAATAGTTTCAGTAGGTCAAGTCACTTATTGGTCAGACGAAACTGGAAATCCAGTAGGAATCCTAGCTCGTTAAACGCGACGTCGTATTACTTCCTTAACGGCTCCCAGATGAAGCATTAGATGCACCCAGAGAAACCATATGACTTGTAATCCTCTATAGGATGTCCCATAAGTAGAAATGGAATAACTCAGTAACCGCGTCGCTAATTTCGCCACTTACTGGATAAGTTTATCAAGCTAAACACGGAACCCCGTTAGGAACGAAGAAATCTGGCCTAGCTAGTTTGCCGTAGCTCAACGTCATGTCAATTTCACGCATCTCAATAATACGTCACGTAATACCTTATCTAGATCAATATGGATTCAAAGGGTTTAACGTATAGGTATACCTATATTAAATGAAAGAAACTTAATTTTTTTTTATAGCTACGGGTACGTGTATTATATAGTAGGAGATATATTTGCCCCATGCAATCTTGAATACAATTTTGAAAAAGACGCGCTTAATTCAATGGCACGGCACCCTTACGCATATCGCGGATATGTGGAATGGCTCTAATCAGATTTCCGAAAAGATTCCTCGGTAGGATGTAACAGAGGCTGGAGGGGCAAGTGTCGAGGTGCGAAATACAACAGGGAAAAGGGGTGGAAATATGCAGTATAGAGTGAATGGAACAAAAGATGACCTTGATTTTTAAAAAAATGCACTTTATCCAAAACGAGAGTAAACTTTGAGGTTGACTTAAACAAAAAATGGGATTATGGTTGGTTGGATATTTGGTCGGTGAGTTTGAGCGGAATGGCGTGCTGTTTGTGCCTTAAAGATTAGCCGAAAGTGCTGGGGACGCGCGCCGAGCATTAAAGGACTTCGCGATAAGATAATGTAATTCAGCAATAAGATCGAATTTTGGGATAAGGCTTAGAATTTATGGGAGGGACCTACATCGGGGAACTTCTGCGCTCAGGCTAGGAATATTTGCCGTTAAATATTCTCTATATTCTTTCTTTGTCCCCGACAATGAGCAACCTCGGCAAACTTTATTTTAATATATTCACCATAATTTTTCGTGCTAATCTCGTGCTTAAAAATTGAGATCGTTTCTTTGACCAACTGATCCTTCTTATCATTCCAATCATTGCCCTCGTTATTTTACCTTCATCACTGTATCGTACCGTGAAGCGGATAACTCCTCGTGGCGTCGCGCGTTAGTCGGTCTTTAGTGTCGGTTTTAATGATAGTGCCAGGAGAATGACGGATGAACGTGTTTCCATGTCGTCGATCGATGCCCAGAGAGAAGAGAAAGAATGAGCTTGCGACTTCGGTTGCAAAGTCGAGCCTCCTGCCCTAGTTGAATCTCTGTTTACGACAGGACTCAGGTTGGGGGCGGTAAGAGAGAGAGAGAGAGAGAGAGAGAGAGAGAGAGAGAGAGAGAGAGAGAGAGAGAGAGAGAGAGAGAGAGAGAGAGAGAGAGAGAGAGAGAGAGAGAGAGAGAGGTGGAAGGAGCGGGAGACAGAATTTCAAGAGCCCAAAGAGAGAGATCAGTATAGGGATGACATCGAGGCTGGTGCAAACTAGAAACGGATGTTGTGATCAGTTCCGGAGATCTTGTTCGGGGAGAAAAAAGAATTCAAAATCAGCGGAAGAAGCAGCTTCCGGACGAAAGAGATGAACAGGATGTTTATGTGATCAGGGATGATACCGGAACTTCAATTTTAACCGCTAGCACAGCCCACGATAATACCGGAAAAATAAAAAATACCGTGTCACAAAAATCTCTCCTCTTTGACGTAGCTCCCTCGTAAAGACTGTCCCGTTACGTAGTTTGTCCTGGTGAAATAAATATAAAAAAAGGTAACGTCAAAATAGAATCGGTAGCCCAAAAGACCGCGTGGCATCCAAAGCACGTATCTCCATCTCGCAGTAAGGAGTCAGGGCGATAAGCCGCAAGGGCAACACCGAGGAACGCGGAAACGCATCTGACCGCGAGACCTTCGAAATCGATGGCCAACACAACCTAACCTGCCTATCGAGCCGAGACTCGAAAGCAGGAAAGCAAGAATATATCGGAGGCATAAAATCAGGTAGGAAATGTGTTTCCTGATTATTGGGGGTAGCGAGCACGAGTTATTAAAAGAAAACATCAGCGACGACCTACGTACACGAGAGTAACGTGAAACGTAGAAGCAGAAACACGATGACACGACTTCGATGTGACACTCACCTGGTGAACCTCCCGCGGTGCGACACTGCTGAACTGCCGAGGTCCTGGAGATCGAAGTCTCGTGGCAAGCGGTCGTGGACTGAGTGAACCCGAGTTCAGACTGAGCGGTGGAGTTTCCTTGGCGCCGGTGGCGCCGCGGGGGCGAGCGTCCATCGATCGGCTTGCGGGGGTTGGGGTTGCCAAGGGGAAGGTTGGGCGAGCGAGGGGGGTGAACGCGGCGCCGACGGCCGACGTCGACGTCGACGTCGTTCGCTTGGCGCCGAAGAAGGCGGGGCGTATCACGCTTACTCTCTTCTGCACCCTGCGCTCATCCGTCTGTATTAGTATATATATATTTTTGTCTTTCCTTCTATTTCTACCTTTGTCACGCTCTGTCTCCTCCCTCCCCTCTCTTTCTCTCTCTCTCTCTTTCTCTCTCTCTCTCTCACTGTGTCTTTCTCTCTCAGGGACGTTCTACTCCCTCTCTCAAACTGCATTCTACTTCACGAGCTTTTGCATACACGGGCTCGATTCCGCGAAAGGATGGGATGCGGATGGAGTGCAATATTCCCGGAGCGGTCTGTCTGGTCAGTGGGGAAAACTACTAGGTTTTATAAGCGGTCGTTCCGGGCATCGTGAAACCACTGGATGATTTTGTCTGTAAAGGGTACCGACGAAGTGAAATAAAAAAGGCTTATATAAACGAGAGAGAAAGAGACAGAGACAGACTAGTAAAATGCTCGATAGCACGATTCGAAAATTTGAAGAACTTTTTTTTACGAACAACCAATTCGTTTGACACGTTGAAAGAAAATTTGTTCAATATATAATTAACGTGATATATTGAATTTTCATACGGTATGACTTATGGACTTTCAATGTTGACGGACGATATTCACTTTCGTTTTGTTCCGCTTGATTTGCGTGTCAGAAATATTTAGTAAAATTTTATTCCACTTCGATAAATCCTTAGGGCAGGGAACATGTATATTTTGTAGAGTCCACGTATTATACTCTGATTAACAGTAGAGTAATAAGATAGATCGGTCGTGGGTGACCTTGTGACTATATTATTCTGTCCGAGGCAGAAGAAGATATTATATATGTATACGGACTCTGCTGGCTCAAGACGCACCCGTCGCAAAAACAGGCGCCAATGATTAATGATAGACATTGACAAAAAAGGCCAACCTGCCTGGATATACGAAAACGTGCCTAGTGAAATAATTGATCAGCAACCACACCTTCCGGAAGAAAAATAGCATTAATTCCAAGTATCCAATGAACCAAGCCATTGAATTGATAATATAAATAACTCAGGTAAAAAGTAGTCACAGTAAAATTCGTCAGGCTGATTACCATAGAGGGATGAGGTAATGAGAAACTATTTCTTACTGTTACGTATCGAAACGCCCATGCGCCCTATCCAAGAGCCCATGCCGTAGCTGCCGTAAGTTCAAGAGGGTAGAATTTCGAATCGCGTGGCGGGAATTTAATTTATTTTACTCGACGCACGTGCTGCCATGGAAAACTTGGGCCGTTGGCAAAGAAGTCCACTGGGTCCAATGGAAATCAGATTTGTGTCAGCTGCTACTCCAGACGCCACTCTTCTATTGCAGTTATTCAGAAAACAGTATGGCAAACTGATCAGACTGAATTTTTTATCGAGATTTCTATACGATTTGATCGATTTACAAAATCTTAATAAACGATAATATCAAGTTTTTAACACTTTTTTTTCGCCTCCAATGTAGACCATGCCACTCAATTTTTCATATCTTTATATTTAACCTTTACATGAAGAATTTCTAAAAGGACTAAGAAAAAATGCATGTTTAAGCAGATCAGTCAGACACTATATTCTGGTAAGCTTCTCAGAGTTAAACGGGAGGCTGTCTGACATTCCCATTTAAGAAAAGTGGGCCGTGTCGATACGGTATTTGTCGATAATACATACCATCGAAACGGTCTCTTTACTATTTTCGGTTGTATTATTATTCCGGGTAGTTGGAAGACCGCAAAACGGCATTACGTAAAGAACGCCGTTATCGAACATGAAAAAACGCGAACGATTCCTCAGCTATCCACGGATACGATAGAAGGCTGCGTGGATGTAGATAAAAAAAGAATGAAAAAAAAAGCAGAAGCGAAGCGAGCAAAAGAAGAAAGAGAAAGAGTCAAGGAAAAGTAGTATACGTATAGAGAACAGATAAAAAAGATGTCTCCACCTACCGAGTGGCTGTAACCCTGGAAGACGAGAAAAACAAAACTAACCAGAAACGAAACAATGAAAATGTCAACGAGTTTCTTTTCAATAAAGACATCATGAACACCTATCACGAAAAAATATTAAAAAATTCTTAACAGCTGATTGTCCCGTAAAGAATTGTTATTGCTCAATATTTTATTTGAATTTTCATAAAGATTATTTTTTTTTTAATTTCACTCATTTATACTTTGTTTTTCTAAGCTCGAATAGTCCACTTCAAACTATTGTATTTTTCAGGTGAAACAATTAGTAACTGGAACCAACGTAGATTACTGCTCCCCGATATCCATTGGAACTGCATTAAAGAGGTCGAAGGAAAGAGCTTACAGACTCCCTGGGAACAAGAGAAAACGTATGGTGGTAGTATATACCTACGTAAAGGAATTCTTAGAGCACCTAGAAAAAGCAGATTAAAAGAATGGAATATCGTTGGACTAACCACGGATTAATATTCTTCAGCTATCTGTAAAGGACATGCTCTTTAGAATCGTAGTCGACATTAGCTATGGAAATGTCAGACGCACGAGAGACAACCTCACGACTCTTTACGCAGAACCGCTGAAACCAGCCGAGGTAGTAGTACCTTAGCTACTGCCGTGCCAACCGGAAATTACGTAATTTCCTAGCATTCTCCCAACACCTGGGCACTTTGTAGAATATCACATCGCGAGCCATCGCCGGTATGGAACTCCTGGACGAATCAATTATATCGTCACGGAATTCCAGTGGAAGTAAAAAGAAAGGGAAAAAAATTAAATTCAGACTGTCGCAGCATCTTCCCTTTAAATGCATCCGATGATTTTATCTCCGAAAGATAATTCCATAAAATATGACTCCGGATTTTAGAAATAAGACAGGAAAAATAGCGAACTGGAAGGAGATGATAAAGGTATGAGCTCACGGAAACACATCTGTGCACTCATACAAATTGACGGGGACCTTCTCGCAGGGTTTAGAAGGGTGTTGAGAGGTTGTTCGGGTCACGTTTTGGGGTGACAGGTGGAGGGAGAGGGGGTGGGTAGGCAAGTGGAGATTCGTGTCGACCCAACGCATAGCCACGTGCGGAATTATAAACGTCGTGATAAGCATACCGTGACATCCAATATCCATATACTTATGCATCAATGTCAATGACATTTGCACATGGCGTATATACCGGGTGATTATTTTAATTCTATAACTAATAGTACACAATCATCGACTCCCATCTGTGAGTATTTTTTTGCATATTGCAAATATTAGTGGATACGAAAAATGTGTCTTTTATATGTATGTAGTATGGGGAAGATTCATAAGCCCGTATTCAGAACTCGCTTTTAGTGCTAATAGCGCGCTTTTAAAATTTTTCTTAGTGACTTTTAACTATAAGCGACTCTGTTAGTGACTTTAAGAGCGAGTTGTGAATACGGGCTATAGTATTTAAGTATTAAGTTTAATTTGCTTTAATCGTTTAGTCTGTTAGAAGAAATATTTGCGTATGCGTGCGGGCAATATGGTTGACATCTGTATGTAGGCTGGAAGGCTAAATGGAAAGTTTTAAGTGTTAAGATTTACGATAGTACGGAATAGGTTTAGGGATGAGCTGACGTCCAAAACGGCGAAGTGACAATTGCCAGAGCTCTAGTCGGGTGTGTGAAAAAAAAAGTAATTGAATGTTAAGAACGGATGCAGGAGTGAAAATAGAAAGACTGAAAGGTATGTTGTTTCTTAGAAGAGGCACTATGTTCTTGATTGGCATCCTGAAAAGTCAGTGGGCGAATATATTTAAATTCATCTATCGACGATTTAGGAACTTTTAAATACATATACTTAGCTTGGGACTCATTTGTATCTTCTGAATACTTACTTCTATGTATATCGCTACGTGTATGACGTAATATGTCATATACGTACTATTGTTATGTAATACTATACCTTGATACTATTGATCCAGATTCTTCGACGGGATCATATATCTTCGTAATCCTTTTTTGAATGTTTGCTTACCTACAATTATATTCCGTCAGTTTGGCAACACTGTACGTAAACACTTTTTTTAATACGAGCTTATAATATAGTTTAAAACACGCCGTCAACAGCAATACTTTTAATACAGAAAAATCTATCCACGTTTACGACACTTTTACGACTAGGAAAATTAAATGATACTTCGTGTACGTGGGACAGTATTTTGGCCCAAGTGGTTACGCGTATAGGATACGATATAGGTCAGACGTTGTATTATACTGGTTCCAGTAGCCGGCTATACGCGATTACAGAATCTTACCATAGTTCCGCCTTGGTGTGTGCGGCGATTGTAAAGTTATCACGAATGAGATATGTCGAAGTGTCTTAGAATATTTTGTAAATATTCTCAAAAGTCTTAAATAAAACTTCATTAAATAGAGATTTCAAGGAATAAATTTAATTCAGTACAAAGTTTACTCTCTCTTCCGCGGGGAATTACTGATTACTCTGTAATTAATACTTGATTACATGCCAATATCAATAAAACAATATCTCACGAAAAGTTCAAATGATTTGCTGTGATAATAATAAAGTAGAACGAAAAATTGTTATGGATTTTATTAGATCGTGAAAAAAAGTTTTGAGTGGGAAATTGTGAAAATTTGTTCACCCTTTGGTATAATCTATCTGAAAACGTTTATGAACGGATGGAACAGTACCAATTGTGGCACGATTAATGGAATACGTAAATATAAGACAAGCGATTACTGTGCTTCCACGGGTTACAACGAAATCCACCATTTTAATCCGCACCAAAAAGAACCGTAGGAACTAAAATTTTTTTACCATACAGATATTACGTCACGTGAAAAATTTCACCGTATTTCACACTAAAGCAGCTGCCAATTTGCATAGATG